CAGAGCCGTTGCATTGCATTACAATGAATCAGTGGGGCTTTGCGAGAGCACTTCAGGGACCGCGTTGACGATGCCCTTAATGCTCTTAACTTTAAAGTCTCGCTGCAGGAGGCCCTTAGGCAAGTAAGCCACCCTAGGGTGATCAAACTCCCCAAGATTTTCATAAAGAACACTAAACCGTACCCTTTACTTGGATAGTAAAGTGCTGCCCATATAGCCCCGCCATTTTTCGAACATGCGAAAGTGCAGCAGACTATTTTACACTTAAGCACTTTCGACTGTACCAGCTATGTTTGCTCAGGAGCTTGTAAAGTTTGATTAGTTGACTTGTCTATTTGTAAATATTACTCATTGCAGGGCATCCACTACTACCTCGCTGGCATCGGGTGCTAGGAAGATGTGACGCCCGTAATCGGCTAGCGCGAGTACCGGCGGAACTTCAGGATAGTTGATCAGCGCCCGTGCTGTGGAATCAGCGTCCTCCATTCACGTCATAGGTTGAGTTTTCTGCAGCAGATTAGTCAAGGGATAGGGGATCCAGGTCAAGTGGAAGTGAATTGTTGGCAAGAATAAGCAGGTGCATAGGGGATCATCACGTCGTCGACAGCGATTTTAAGGCTATGCCTCGCGGAACCCCTGATAATCTGGACTTCAGACAATTGCCGAACCTGACTCGAGTCTAGGAGCCAAAACACGGAATTCCAGCACTGCCTTGCCCTCCCCGTGCCCGAAGACTTCCAAAATAAAGGGCGACATACAGCTAGGGTGCGCGTAATAACACGGGAAAACACTATTAGCTTTCCCATTGGGCTGCACAAAGCATCTGGTGCGCCCTCACAGAGCAATCTGTTTTGCTGTATCAAGGAAACGCTCTCCTGCAGTACGTCGGATATACGAACAGGCAAACCAGCTATTCATTCACCCTTTAGCTTCTGGTTGAATTTAACCAATTCGTCAGAAAGTGTTCAAACGCAGCTATTTATCCTGCTATAGTTTCGGTCTGCAGCCACTCGGAACATGTCATCTTTTGTCGCAGCACGGTGGCACCACGTACAACTCAACCACTGAGCAGTGGAGCTTTCACGAAGGCGAGTTTACTGTGTTGCACTGAAGTTGCGATGCGCCTTGGCAGGTACAGGCTTCTTAGTGCAGACGGTAAGGGGACCACTAGGAAGCGCATCGCACAGGACTGCTTCTTGGATATCATACCTAACCCCGTCACAGGTGGAAGGCAAGCGTAAGCAAGGCTTGCAGTTAGTTTTTATCGAAGTCTCTCACGAGTGCAGGTTGCTCTAGTGGTGGTACGGTCGAAGTGCTGCGGGCCTTGCCACGCTACCCGTACGGCGGGGCCCCTAAGGATCTGTGTAACACCTGACTGTTCATACACTACATTGGTAGCTATGGGCGCCAAAGAAAATAATAGGATCGATCCAAACGTTCGCGATAGCCAACAAGCCCTCAAGCGCCTTTTTTGACGCTGAACCCTCGCGACCACTGCGACACGCAGTCTCCCTTCCACTGCCTTGCCCAAGAAGAAGAAAGCCTGGCCCCATGAGCCTATGCGTGTGCTAGCCGATAGGTTGTTGCTCTAAGAAGCAATCGGCGAGTTGCAGCCTCTTTTATGCGGGAACTCCGGGTACAGCACGACAGAGCACAGAGGCAGCCTTTGGGGCTTGGGGGCTGCCGTGACTGGTCTAGAGAGGGGAACACAGTGGAGAGTGTCTCTGCAGCTCTAGAGGTGTATGTACACTGAAGAGATGGATTTATACAGGGGCTTAGACCTCTCCTTTCTTCTTCAGTAATACAGGGCAGGCTTTAGCTGCTGCCCCTCCCCCGTACGTGGCGCGGCACCCCCCCGTGCGGCCTGCAGCGCAGCAGCAGCGACGGCAACTGCGGCAACAGCAGTGGCGACTTGTTTCGCTGCTGCATCGGATGTGCAGCAGGTTCCCACCCGCCGCAAGAGGCCTCAACAGAATCCAAAGAAAACTCTTTCGCCCCCAGCACCGATCCTGCACGGCTGCCGGTGCCACGTGCAGCAGGCAGCGGCTGCAGCGGCGGCAGCAGCCGCACGCATATTCCCCCTCTCTCTGATGCCGTTAGAGACGCCGCATCTTCAGAAGAGGGTCACGCACGCCTGAAGTAGAACCTCCGGCGCCTCCGGGAAGGCCCCTAGACACTCAGACGCCTTCTGGCGATCTCGCAGAGGCCTCTCGAGAAAGCCAGCATTTCTTGCTCGCATTTGGGGGCTTCCCTTCAGCGGGGAGGCTCTGGAAGCTCCTGCCGCCGTAGAACCGCCGACTGCGGATACGCGAGGCGCTCTCCGCCGGAGAGAGGTGCGCGGCTCAAGAGGACGGCACTTCGCAGCAGCGCCAGCCCCACTCGCACGTCGCGATGACAGAGGAGGCCCCTGAGGGGGTTCCCCCCCCCGGGGGGGCCTCTACTGGGCCCCCCATCGAGTCTACCGTCGTCGCGCATCTGTCTGCTGCTCGCTCGCTCGTGCGGGAGGGGCAGCTGCTGCTGCGAGAGGCGCACCCCTTCCCCCCAGGCTGCACCACGACTCCCGCCCTCTCCGCTCACCAGATTCAGAACCTCTTGCATGTTTACCAGCTGTGCGAACAAGCGCTGAAGCACCTGGATGCTTGCGGCCTCCCCCTGGGATCCCTTCGGAGCCTGCACCACCACGAGGGGGATGCAGCCGCGGCTTCAGCAGCACGGTGGAAGCTGCAGCACGAGCAGCATCAGATGCTCCCAGAAGGCATGGCTAAAGCTGGAAAGGCGCAGGGATTTTTTGCATTGGTCACTATGGCTGAAGCGCTTCGCGCGATGGGTGAGTGGCTGCGGGGTCCCTATCGTGTGCTGCGCATGCGCTTCGTAGGGGGGCGTATCCCTCTTGCACGGGGCGCTTTTTGCGCGCAGCAATTTGCGCCGCTGTGCAGCCTGTGCTGCTGCAGAGGCTGCAGCTTCGCGTGAAGTCGTGTGGCGGTGTCTGCTGTGTCGCGCTATCCTCTCTCTCTCTCTCTCAGGCAACTATGAAGACAGTCTGCTGTGCTACACGGAGAGTCTCCAGTGGACGGAGGGCCTCTGTGGAGCAGCGGAGCAGACGAAGGCTCTCTTGGCTGCCGCCGCTGTTATGGCGGAAATTGGCAGGCACACTGCAATCGCCGCAGAGGCTGCCGAGGCAGCAGAAGCCTTCGAAGCCGCCAAAGCTGCTGCAGCCAGCACTCCTCCAAGCCGCAAGGGCAGTGCAGCAGCAAGCTCAGCAGCAGCAGCAGCGGCAGCGGAGTCGGCGATCCCCTATGCCTTCCAGACAGCCTCGCAAACAGCCGCCTCCGCAATCACCAGTAGGGGCAGCTGGCGATCTCTGAGAAGCCTCATGGCTTCCCATAGGAGAGCACTTAGCGTCGCAGAGAGCACTGGGCTGCGATACTCTCGGCATGCGCTGGAGGGTGTTCTTCTGTTATCTCCAGGGCATATAGCAGCAGCAGCGCGACTGGTGAAGGTGTTGCTGCTGCAGGGAGACTTTCCTGCTGCAGCCAAGGCGCTGCAGCATGTGCTGCGGCAGCAGCTCAACACTGCTGTGCATGTGCCGCGCAAGATACTGTGGCTTAGGGGACTCTTGCAAGGCGATGCAGCTGCTGCCTCGGCTGCAGCCAGCTTCCTTGCCAGTGCACAGAGTCTCGCGAGCAGCAGCAGCAGCAGCAGCGGCATCGACGCTGCAGCAGCAGCAGCAGCGCACGACAATGACTTGGCCGCTCAATTTCTCGCGCAGCAGCAGCAGCGTCTCAAACGACAGCTCCTGGCGCTAAAAGCCGAAGGTAAACTTCGTCTCCGCTGCTGCCGTGAGACGTTGATCTAGGCTGCTCTCTGCGCGTGCATTTGTGTGCGCTTCCAGCTGTGTCTATTTTGTCTGCGCTCCGCCCCTGCTACGCTCTTGCTGCAGACAGCGCCATTGTGGAAGCGCTGCGCTGTGGAAGCTCCTCATCCTATAGGCCTTTGTTGCTGCCCTTGCCGCTCAAGAGTGCTGCTGCATCAGCTGTCGCTCCTGCTCCTGCTGCTGCTGCTGCTGCTGCTGCGGGAAAGACAGCTGCAGATGAAACCTCGCAAGTCGCGCTGGTCTTGGATGCTCTGAGGCTTGCTTTTCTCCAGGGGAGCTCTGGTGGCAGCATTAAGTGAGCGCTGCTGTAGCTGCTGCTGCTGCTGTCACCCGTCCCCGCCTTTGCGTGTTGTCGTTGCTGCTGCTGTGTGTGCTGCTTCTGGAAGGGGTCGGGGATTGGGAAGGCGGAGTAGAGTGGAGGTCGGGCGTCTTTGCTCTTTGAGTGCCTGTGGGCGGTGCATCCTTTTTCGGCGAGTCGTGCGTTCTAATCAATGCGCTGTTGCATGCATGCATGCAGCCTTGCCCATGCCGCGAATGTGCCCTCTGCGGTCGTGGCGAGAGACAGCCCCCTGTGTCTCCCCCCCCCAGCAGTTCCTGCGGCTGCTGCTGCTGCTGCTGCTGCTGCGCATGCAGCAGCAGCAGCAGACACTGCTGCGGCGGAAGGAGCTCCAACCACGCAGGCTGCTTCTGCCGCAGCAGTGTCTGCTGCTGCCTCTTTAGGCCGCAGCAGCAGCAGCAGCAGCAGCAGCAGCTGGCTGTGGGGCGGTCCGTCTTTGCAGCAGCAGCAGCAGCAACAGCAGCAGCAGCAACGTAGCCGAGGCAGGCTTCGCAATGAGAAGCCGCGTCGGCTGAAATTCTTGCAGGTATATGCACGGAAAGATCGGCAGCCGTGGTGTCGCCACAGCTGTGCGTGTTCCTTGAGGTGTAGAATCACTTCAGTAGCAGTGCTATGGCGAGCAGTGTACCCGTTTTTCGTGTTTTTAGCACCGTTTTGCTCTCTGCTGAAGCGTGGCGTGCGATGCCTGACGGAGGTCCTCCTCCGCGTATGCGTCAGTAGCCTCCTCTCCTTCTTCCGCCTTGCTCCCGTCTATTGGTGTGCTTCTTGGTTGTCTCCGCTTGCGTCTTCTGTCTGGTGTGGGCTCGCTGCCGCTGGCGGCAGGGGATCGATCGGGGTGCGAACTCCTCCTTCTATGGCTGTTGTACATACCCCCTCTCCGCGGATATATGCTGCTGCTGCTGCAGGAGAGCGACGCATGGCAGTCCAAGACTCCCTTCTCGCTGTGGAAGGCTTGGGGAGCCTTGCTGCGGATGCCTTCGGCGCACAGAGAGGCTGCCCTCAACAGTGGTGCCTTTGAGCACAACGCAGCGATAGATGCCTTGTGGGGTGATTTCTCCGTCTTCTCCCACTTCCTCGGGGGTGCTCCTGCCGAAGCGGCAGCAGCTGCTGCTGCCGCCTCCGCAGCAGCATCAGCAAGCAGCAGAGGAAACGCGACGGCAGCAGCGAAGGCAGCAGCAGCGCAGTTACAGCCTCTCTCGAGTGTCGCCCTCCCTGTGGTTCCCCCGCCTTCTCTGCAGTGGACACTGTGGCAGCTGCAAACCACGATCGATTCGATCCTGTACGTTGTTGTCGCTGTTGTTGAGGATGGGGGGGTCCTATTGGCTGTATCGGTTTCGTTGGATGGCTTTCAGGAAGGGGAGGTGGTAGTAGCGGCTGATGTTGCTGAGGCTGCTTCTGCTTCTGGCGCCGTTGCACAACAGCAGCAACAACTGGGATCTAGCGGTAGTGGGGTTTAGAGGCGATGCTTCCAGCGGCAATACGCAGGGTGTCTGTTTCTTGGGGTCTGCTTCTACAGAGTCGGCAAGGAGGCGAAAGCGAGCGAAGGACCAAGCGACATGGATGCGTCAGAAAGCTCCGGAACCTCCGTGGAGCCTCAAGTGCAGCAGCAGCAGCAACAGCAGGCAGGGGAGAAGGCATTGCTGCAGCAATTAGCTGTGGTGTTGGGGGTGTCGTCGGAGTCTGTCCGTAGCAAGGAAATGCCGCTCTTGCAAATTTGTCTCAAGGTGAGAAGGCAGTCTCATAATCCGCAACTGCTTCTTGAAGAGCGTTCGTGTTGGCCCCTCCAAGGGCTGAACCAAGGCTAGCAGTCAGCTCGAGCTTTTCTGTCGGTGCATCATTGCCACAGTCCAGTCGCTCATTTCCCTCTGTTCCCTTCTTAGAGGGAGGGGGTGGAGGGGTGGTTTTGGCGGGAGCAGTGCAGCTGCAGTCATTCGACTTCCCAAGGGCGGGAGTGTCTCTAGCTAGGACTGCTGCTGCTGTGCTTGGCCGTCTCTTGGCCGTCTCTGACGAATTCTGCTGCTGCGTGGATTTCCGCCGCTGCCACTGAAGCTCCGAGTCACGCAAACAGGCAGATCGTGCAGTCGGAGGGCGTGCAGCAGCATTAGCAGCAGCAGCATTGCTAGGAGCAGCATGAGCGAACTTGATGGGGGAATTACTTTCTCGTGCGTTGAAGTGCGTTTGTGTATTTTGCAGGTTGTAGAGGGCTTGCTGTCTGAGCAGAGCCTTGCCACGCGGTGGCTCGATGCCTCGTGGGGCAGCCGGGTGTCTCTTCGGCTCCGCGATTTGCTCCAGTTGCTCCTCGGAGTGGCTGCAGCAGTGTCAGCTGAGCTGCCCCCCGTTGCAGCAAAGAGGGAAAACAGCAAAGATGCAGCAGGGGTGGCAGCCAGCAAACTCTCCGCTTCGCCGCAGGCAACCGAAGTTTGGACTCGGCTTTGTCTGAGTGCACCAGGTAATCCGTGGCTGCTATTGCTATTGCTGCTATTGCTATGGCTGCTAGTGCTATTGCTATTGCTGCTATTGCTATTGCTGCTAGTGCTATTGCTGCTATTGCTATTGCTGCTATTGCTATTGCTGCTAGTGCTATTGCTATTGCTGCTATTGCTATTGCTATTGCTGCTGCTGCTAGTGCTATTGCTGCTATTGCTATTGCTGCTAGTGCTAGTGCTGCTATTGCTGCTATTGCTGTTGCTGCTATTGCTATTGCTGCTATTGCTATTGCTGCTAGTGCTATTGCTGCTATTGCTATTGCTGCTATTGCTATTGCTATTGCTGCTATTGCTATTGCTGCTATTGCTATTGCTATTGCTGCTATTGCTATTGCTGCTAGTGCTATTGCTGCTAGTGCTATTGCTGCTATTGCTAGTGCTGTTGCTGCTATTGCTAGTGCTGTTGCTGCTATTGCTATTGCTGCTATTGCTATTGCTGCTATTGCTATTGCTGCTATTGCTATGGCTGCTAGTGCTATTGCTATTGCTGCTATTGCTATTGCTGCTAGTGCTATTGCTGCTAGTGCTATTGCTATTGCTGCTATTGCTGCTATTGCTATTGCTGCTATTGCTATTGCTATTGCTGCTATTGCTATTGCTATTGCTGCTATTGCTATTGCTGCTATTGCTATTGCTATTGCTGCTATTGCTATTGCTGCTAGTGCTATTGCTGCTATTGCTATTGCTGCTATTGCTAGTGCTATTGCTGCTATTGCTATTGCTGCTGCTTGAGGCCGCTGGACGTTCTGCGTTTCGGCTCCTCCTTGTGCATCTGTTGCTACTGGTGTTTTTTCGCTTCTAGCTGTCGTCTTCTCCAGGCGACGGGTAGGGCAGGGTGGCGCTAGCAGCTCTCCTCGTGGCTCTTACTGCTACGCCTTTTGTGTGCTGCAGCGGCAACAGGGCTTACAGGAAGCCATGCGAGAGCGCTGCAGCAGTTCTTCTGCGGAGGGCTAGGTGAGCGTGCGGCTTTGGCGCTGATGCATGCAGCCGCAGGAGCGCTTGATGCCCTTCCGCAGCAGCAGCAGCAGAAACGGCGGCAGCAGCAGGTGCAGCTGTTGCCAGTTGCCCAGGCGCAGCAGTTGCTTGACGTTGCAGGAGATCTTCTGTACGCCGTTGCAGTTGCTCTGCAGTGCAGCAGCAGCGGCAAGAGCGGAGAGGAGGCAGCAGTCGCGTCGGAGAAGCTGCGCACTAGCAGATTGCAGCGTGCGATGGCATGGTTGGTTTTGCTGCAGCGGCATTCTGCAGCGGCGCGAGGGGAATCTCCAGCGACAACAGGGGGCGATGCTGCTTCGCAGGTGGATCGAGGGGAGGGGTCTGCTGCAGCGCTCAGTGCGTTGCTGCTTCTTCTTGACGACCTCGAGCCTCAACAGCAGCAGCTGCATGCGTTCGAGGGAGAGGAGCTGTTGCCACCCCTACAATGCCTTCGCTCTCAGGCTGTTGCTGCAGTTCTTGCAGAGGGTCTGGAAGTGCACGAACTGCTGCAGTCAGATCCTCGCGCGGCTACGCTGTTTGCATCCTGCAGCGCAGCGGCGAAACAGCAGGAGCAGGAGCAGCAGCAGCAGCAGCAGCAGCAGCAGCTCCAAGAAGAGAAGAAGCACCAGGAGGTGCAGCCGCTTGAGGGAATTTCGACGGGCGTGCTGAGAGGCGAGGTGGAGGCCTCTCTGCTTGCTGCTGTTGCCACGGCGCAGCAGCAGCTGAATTGCGTCTCTAAACGGATGCACGCGGAGATTCATGAGCGGACTGTGGCGGCAGCAGCAGCAGCAGCTGCTGCTGCAGCCGATGAAGACCAGCAGGTGCTGCAGCAGCAGCTTCCCCAGACAAGCATCCTGAGTGCAACAACGCAGCATGAGGTGCTCTCTCTGATCCAGTCCTTCGTGCCCTTCTTTTCTCGAGTTTCTCGACAGCTCTCTCTTCTTTCCGCCTCGGATCTGGATTTGGCAGCGGGAAAACCCCCAGCTCTCATGGAAATCGCGCCTTCGCTGCGCAGCTTCGTCTTGTCTCTGATCTCTCTGTACGGAGACGTCTTTGCCGTCCTAGCGCTTCGAGCTGCGCGCTCCCTGGACGACTGTGTGTTTCCCTTTGCCGCTGTCACTGCAGCGGCGGCGGCAGCAGCCGAGACAGCGGCAAAGACTTTACGAGGCTGCCCCTTCCCCTCTGCAGAGCTTAGGGAAGAGTTCGTGCTTGGCGTTGTGGCTTCCCTCCCCGTTTTCCTCTCCGCACTTCAGAGCTTCCGTGTCTTCCTCTTTGACACGCCTGAGCCGCGTGCCTCGCCTGCGCCCCCCCAACCAGCAGCTGCAGCTGCAGCTGCAGGAGCCGCTGCTGCTGCCGCAGCGGCTCTCTCGGAGTCTCCGGACGCGCAGCAAGAGCGATCTGCAGCCGCGACTGCCTCGATTCCAACGACGGATCTGCTAGGAGATAGCGGCAGCCTCCCCTCCCTCGCTGCAGGCGTCTGCATGTGGGGTGTAGCCGTCGGCTCACCCTTTGCCCGTCTCGTCGCCCCCCTCTCTCCGCAGCAGCTGGCAGAGGACCTCAAACTCAAGCCAGACAGCAGCAGCGCCAGCGGCAGCAACGCGCCGATCCTCGCCACTGCATTGGGAGCGCCCACTCCCGTCTCCACCATTTTCGCTGCAGGTCTCCCCGTCTCCGGCTGTTTCCTGCATCCCGCCGCGGTGCGACTCGCCGTTGGTCTTTCCTCGTTCATCCTGTGCGAACTTGTGGCAGTCACCTCCGTGTGCTGCTGCTGCTTCCTCACGGGGGAGACGAAGCGGTTCAGCACCCTCCCCATCGCTGGACTGCCTGCGGGAGCAGCCGCGGGGGCCCTTAGCGGCAGCGCCTCCGGAGGCGCAGCAGCGGCGGCAGCAGCGGCAGTCACTGCAGCAGTCGCCGCCAGGAAGGGGAGTCTGTGGAAGGATCTGACGAACAGCAGCCAAATCATTCGCCTAGGCCTCTCGGCGCTGCTGCAGCTAGCAGGCGCTCCTCTGGAGTGTGCTGGCACTGCTGGGCAGCAGCAGCCAGCGAGCCTTTCGGAGGCTGCTGCCGCTCCCGAAGATCCGCCTGCCGTTCGAGTGCGGTGGCAGCTGCATCCCCTCACGTTCTTGGCTCCGACGAACGGCCAGTTCACCTCGCCCGCGGGAGACAGCTGGAGCGGATTCGGAGGCGTCGGCGGTTCTGCAGCTCCGCAGCAGGCGCTGCAGCACGGCGACTTGGGGGTGCTTGCAGCTGCGGGCGGAGCTCCACTCGCGGGGACGGCGCTGCGCGTGAATGGGGGGGGGGGGAGCCTCCGGAGTATCGTGGAGTCTGCTGACGAGCGAGCAGCTCTGGACGCCAGCGAGTATGCTTTGCGACTCTGTCACCTCGTGTGGGGTGCTGTGGAGGTCGAAATGGCAGTCAGAGAGCTGCAAGACATCGGCGCGCAGCAGCAGCCCGCTGCCGGAGGGACCGCAGCCGCAGAAAAGGCGAAAGCGGCTGTTGTCGCTGCTGCTGCAGCGACAACAACCACCATGTTGAGCACTACCAGCAGCAAGAGCAAGCGCAGTCAGGGGCACTACCCCAAGCCGCCGATTTCTCAGCCGCTTCCTTTGCAAGCGCTCCCTGGTTGGCTCCGCAGCTGCTACTGGAGCGAGTGTGATTTGCCGTGGGAAAGAACAGAGAGCGAGAGAGACGCGGATGGAGAATCGGCGGTAAGCGTTTTGCTGCGAGGGGATCTGACCTCTTGAGTTTTTTGCGCCATGCATGCATGCATGCATGCAGACGAGTGTGTGTGTGTAAAAGTATGTGTGGGGGGTGTGGAAGTGTGGGTGTGTAGGTAGGGGAGGAGTTTTTTGGCACTGTGCGTTTGGGTAGAAGGGGAGCGAGTCAGGAAGCGGGTTGGGT